GCACACACACACACACACACACACACACACACAAACAAGCAAACAAACAAACAAACACACACATGCAGACACACAGAAAAATTACTTAAAATTGCCGTTTCCAAAAACACTCAAGCTTTGGAACTTATCGAATTTGGCGGTCATTTTCTCGCTATTGTTGCCTCTAACACCTGACGACCCCCACCTCTTTCACTGGCAAATATCTCGACATCAATTCAAGACTGATGGGTGTTTTGTCCATAAAAAGAAATACAAATAAACAAGCTTTAAGATGATACTAATAACTTCATATTATGTCCAAAAATTGACGAGAGCCTCATTTTATGGCGTTGCGAAACAACTATAATTACATTAATCTCCATCCCCCCCTCCCCCACCACCACCTCCACAAACCACACACCCTCAGGTCAGGGACGGAGCGGATTCGAACCAGCTACCTCTGTAGCAACAGTAGCTACAACGCCAGCCTGACCATCGCAAACTTCAGCTACGCCAATGACGGCTGCTACTCCTGCCTGGTGTGGCTAGAGAACAGAGAGGAGTACAAGTCTGGCGGGGTGCTGCTCTGGGCCACAGGTACCCCACACTCGTCATGTCAAGTAAATGATAATCAACAATATATACATATTATATTTTGTGAAAGTTTGTCACTTTGGCCACCAAAAACTTCCCAACCACTTGACTTTCAAATTTGACAAAATTAATGGTGGTTCAGAATCATTTTTTTTCAGCTTTTCATTTGCTTCGTTTAGATCTAATTTTGCGAAAGTCCATCTTCTAGAACGCCATGGTAAACAAGTGAGGTTTCCGTTCAATAGCCGAGCGCACTGTGTCCACACCTTTAAAATTCTGGAGTGCACAACCACGAAAGCGGAATAGAGAATCAATTTATACATCACTATATCTAAACCGTCCAATTTTTTGCATAATATCTCAGGATTTATTCCTCCATTTCATTAGTGTAAATGTAGCAGGCCGATGACTTTCAGTTGATGTTAATGTACCGATCAATCCTTTCATTGAAAGGGGGACCAGCTAGTATATTATATTTCAGAAAGTCGGTCACTTCGGTCGCCTAAAGCTCCCAAACCCCTTATCTTTTGAATTTGATTAAATCAAAGATGGATGCACAGTTATATTAACATTAGTTTTGTTTAGATTTAATTTGTGAAAAGTCCGTATCTAAGACGCCATTGTAAACAAATGAGGCTTCCGTTCACAAGCAGTGCGCACTGGTTTTCCACAATGATTTGGACTTGATTATCGATTCTTTTGAGTCCGTTCATCGAGCAGGTACCCAGATAATAATAA